TTAATATGCTAATCACTATTTAGCTAATCTGACTGGCTACTATAACTTGCTCCACTCTGATTCACTACTGAAATATAGTTTCCTTCCTATACCTTCTTCATAGCCTGCCCCCTTTCAATTCTTGGACATCTTTAGCAAGATTAGCTCCTTGTAACAGGTCTCACTCACTGCTGGGTGCCTCCTTGTGACTGGGTCTGGAGTTTAACTCTCACACCATCTGGCACTCTTTCCATTGGTTGCTTGCACCATGGCCTCATTCTCTCTGGGACTCCCAGTGCTCTCTCTTCATGACTTAGCCCACCAGCCAGGTCACTATTCAGTCCTCCTCTTCTGGGGTCTCAGAGTCCTGTTGTACAAGCTGTCTATGCCATATCACGCAGTCTTCTGACCAGGTCCAGTGCCACTTTCCCAGTGATTTGTAGGGGAACCAGGCCAGCCCACTACTCTGAGTTAGAGCCCAGCGACTCTCCTTCTAGCGACCACAGTCTACTCAATCTCAGACCCAAATATTTCTTGGGCTCCTTCATACTTCACTTATCTAGTTTCTGGTCCACTTCTGGGTTTACCAGTCCAAGCTTCCTCCACTTCCAGTGGCCTCTTCACCCCTCTCAGCTTCTTGCAAGATTTTGTAGTCCAAGGCAGGATACCAGGGCTTATTTCCCCCCTGGAAGTCCTCCTTGTCCCTAGCCACACCCTCTTTCTCTCTGGGAAGGGAGAGCAGAGCTCCTCCCTGCAGCCCCCTTCTGTTCTCCCCTTCTGGGTTTCATAAAAGCACAGCCTGCCCTTGCCCAGTTGTGCTTCATCATCAATTATTTTATCAGTTAAATTTAAAGTTAAATCAAATTTATCAGTCCCTGTCTCTCCTTCAGGTGCAGCCTATAGGATCATAGAACTGGAAGAGACCTTGAGAGGTCTTCTAGTTCAGTCCCCTGCACTTAAGGCAGGACTAAGCATTATCTAGACCATCCCTGACAGATGTTTGTCTAACCTGCTCTTAAAAAATGTCCAATGACGAAGATTCCACAACCTCCCTAGGGAACTTAACCACCCTGACAGTTAGGAATTTTTTGCTAATGTTCAACGTAAACTGCCCTTGCTGCTGTTTAAGCCCATTGCTTCTAGTCCTATCCTCAGAGGTTAAGAAGAACAAATTTTCTCCCATCTCCTTGTAACAACCTTTTATGTGCTTGAAAACTGTTATCATGCCCCCCCTCAGTCTTCTCTTCTCCTGACTAAACAAACCCAGTTTTTTCAATCTTCCCTCATAGATCATGTTTTCTAGACCTTTAATCATTTTTGTTGCTCTTCGCTGAACTTTTTCCAATTTATCCACATCTTTCCTGAAATGTAGCACCCAGAACTGGACACAATAGTCCAGGTGAGGCCTAATCAGCATTCAGTAGAGTGGAAGAATTACTTCTCGTGTCTCGCTTACAATAATCCTGCTAATACATCCCAGAATGCTGTTTGCTTTTTTTGCAATAGTGTTATAGTGATTCATATTTAGCTTGTGATCCACTATGACCACCAGATCCCTTTCTGCAGTACTCTATCTTAGACAGTCATTTCACATTTTGTATGTGGTGCAACTGATTGTTCCTTCCTAAGTTGACTACATTGCATTTGTCCTTATTGAATTTCATCATATTTACTTCAGACCATTTCTCCAGTTTGTCCAGATCATTTTGAATGTTAATCCTATCCTCCAAAGCACTTGCAACCCCTCCCAGTTCAGTATCCTCCACAAACTTTATATGTGTACTGTCTATGTCATTATTTAAATCATTGATGAAGGTATTGAACAGAACCGGACCCAGAACCAATCCCTGCAGGACCCAACATGATATGTCCTTCCATCTTGTCTGAACCTCTGATAACTACTCTCTGAAAACGGTTTTCCAACCAGTTATGCACCTACCTTATAGCAGCTCCATCTAGGTTGCATTTCCTTAGTTTGTTCATGAGATGGTCATGCGAGACAGTATCAAAAGCCTTACTAAAGTCAAGATGTACCACATCTACCACAGGCTTGTTACCCTGTTAAAGAAAGCTATTTGACACAATTTTGGTCTTGACAAATCCATGCTGACTGTTACTTTTTACCTTATTATCTTCTAGGTGTCTGAAAATTGATTGCTGAATTATTTGCTCCATTATCTTTCTGGGTACTGAAGTTAAGCTAGCTGGTCTGTAATCCCCAAGGTTGTCCTTATTCCCTTTTTTATACATTGGCACTATATTTGCCCTTTTCCAGTCATCTGTAGTTTCCCTTGTCTTCCACGACTTTTTGAAGATAATCGCTAATGGCTCAGATATCTCCTCAGTCATCTCCTTGAGTATTCTAGGGTGTATTTAATCAGGTCCTGGTGACTTGAAGACATCTAATTTGTCTAAATAATTTTTAACTTGTTGTTTCCCTATTTTAGCCTCAGAGGCTAATTTCTGGGTGCTCATTTTCATAGGCATTCATTAAGTGCGATGTCCAATTGCTAATAAACTTTTTGGTGAAAACTGAAACAAAAAAAGTCATGTAGAACTTCTGCTATTTCCACATTTTCTGTTATTGTCCTCCCCCCCTGCATTGAGTAACAGGCCTACCCTGTCCTTGGTCTTCCTCTTGCTGCTAATGTATTTGTAGAATGTTTTCTTGTTACCCTTTATGTCTCTAGCTAGTTTAATCTTGTCTTGTGCATTGGCCTTTCTAATTTTGTCCTTACATAGTTGTGTTATTTGTTTATATTCATCCTTTGTAATTTCACTTAGTTTCCACTTTTTGTAGGATTCTTTTTTGAGTTTTAGATCATTGAAGGTCTCCTGATTAAGCCAGGGTGGTCTCTCGCCATACTTCAGATCTTTCTTAGGCAGTGGGATAGTTTGCTCTTTTTTGCCCTTAATAACTCTTTGAAAAACTTCCAACTCTCTTGAACTGTTTTCCCCCTTAGACTTGTTTCCCAAGGGCTCTTACCTACCATCTCCCTAGGTTAACTGGCCCTTTTTAACCTGCTCAGGCTTTTTGTGTGGCAGACATCCCATTACACTCCCTATCCCACAATAAATAATATTTTGTACATTACCATTATCTTAAATCTTACCTCTCCTTCCCATTGTATGTCTCATCCCACTCACTTCTCTTTATTCCCCCTCTGCCATCTTGCCACAATTTTCTCTTTTTTTCCTCCCTTGTCCTTTTCTCTGGCTCTGGGGCATTCTCCCATTCATAGGGCATGGCTACACTTGCAGGTGTAGAGAGCGCTTTGAGTTAAACCCACCTTCGGAGAGCACATTAGGAAAAGTGCTGCACTCTGTCCATGCTCACAGGAACAAGCTCACTGGCGTGGCCACATTTGCGGCACTTGCAGCGGCATTGGGAGCAGTGCATGATGGGCAGTTCTCCCACAGAGCCCCTCTTCCCATTCTGGTGCTGTGGCTTGTGGGAAGGGGGCGGGGCGTGCGGGGCATTCTGGGTCCTGTCCCAACACCCCATGATCCATCGGATCACATCCCAGCAATCCCTGTGTTTCTGTCCACATTTGGCACCATCTTTCAACGTTTTTTGTACTGGGTGCTCTGTCTTCCCTTTCGGTCTGCGGGAATGGAGCCCCAGCACGTCACGTTTGGCAGTCGAGTTATTCCTTATGATCCAAAGTGACAGTGAGGGCTGCGATGATGATATTGAGTAACGCATATGACATGAGTTTGCTTGTGGCATACACAGACATTTGCTCACCACTGTGGAATGCCACTTTTGGGCTCAGGAAACAAGCACTGAGTGGTGGATCACATCGTCATGCAAGTCTGGGATGACGAGCAGTGGCTGCAGAACTTTTGGATGAGAAAAGCCATTTTCATGGGACGGTGTGAGGAGCTCGCCCCCACCCTGCAGCACAAGGACACGATATTGAGAGCTGCCTTGACAGTGGAGAAGCAGGTGGCTATTGCAATCAGGAAGCAGGCAACTCCAGACAGCTACCGATCGGTTGCTAACCAGTCTGGAGTGAGGAAATTGACCGTTGGAATCGTGTTGATGCAAGTTTGCAGGGCCATTAATCGCATCCTGCTCAGAAGACTCCAGGTAACGTGCATGACATTGTGGATGGCTTTGCACAAATGGGTTTCCCTAACTGCGGAGGGGCAATAGATGGCACACACTCCAATTCTGGCACCAGCCCACTTAGCCTCCAAGTACGTTAATCAGAAGGGGTATTTTTCTATGGTTCTCCAGGCACTTGTGGATCACCGTGGGCATTTCATTGACATTAACACAGGCTGGTCCGGAAAGGTGTATGACACTGGCCTGTTCGGAGCACTGGCCTGTTCAGGAAGCTGCAAGCCGGGAGTCTTTTCCCAGACCAGATGATCACCGTAGGGGAAGTCAAAATGCCCATTGTGATCCTTGGAGACCCCGCTTACCCTTTAATACCGTGGCTCATGAAACCCTACACAAGGAGCCTTGACAGCAGCAAGGAGCGGTTCAACAGGCTGAGCCAGTGCAGAGTGACTGGAGTGTGCTTTTGGCCATTTTAAAGGGCCGCTGGCGCTCTCTGTATGGGAAGCTGGACCTGGCTGATGACCGCATCCCCACGGTTATATCCATGTGCTGTACCCTCCATAACATTTGTGAAGGGAAGGATGAACGATTCACGCAGGCATGGAACTTGGAGGTTCAACACCTGGAGGCTGAACTTGAACAGCCAGAGAGCAGAGCTATTAGAAAGGCCCAGCGCAGAACTGCAAGGATTAGGGATGCCTTGAGGGAGCAATTTGAGGCTGAAAGCCACCAGTAATCTCTGGTGCCCTGCAAGGGAGTGAAGTGCAGTGGTTCCAATGTTAGTAGGAATCTGTGTTTGCTACAGTGACTTGAAGTGCCTGTTTCTTTCCTGGGCTAAGGTATCTTTTACTTTATGCAATAATAAATAATGTTTTCAAAGCCAAAAATCCATTTATTGAAAATAAAATTCATTTATTGAAAAGAAACACAACTGCTTAGGAAACAGAAAGCGCCAGGGGGTGGGATGGCGTGGGGTGAGTTGGGGAACTGTACAATCACAGACTTGTGTATGTCCTGTTATCATACTCAGCCTTTCTGAGCAATGAATGCTGCACTTCAGGATGGCTATACTGTGTGGTGATGGGGGTTAAGTGCAGTGGGTAAGGGTTGTAGTTTTCAGGGCTAGGTGGTGAAGCTACAGGTGTTGGAGGCAGCTGGTGGCAGTAAGAACCCGGATGTTTGGGAAAGTGGGTTGGAGGTGACATGGGGGCACAAGGGAAAGTTTTGGGACAAGGACTGCAGGGGGGGTCAGGCACGGTAGTGTTCCGCCTGCATGGCTACGAGCGCCTGGATCAAGTCCACTTGCTGCTCCATTATGCTTATCAGCCAATCCGTGCTTTGCTGCCAGAGCACTGCGCTTTTGTGCCGGTGCACCTCATTCTGCTGGCGGATCCTCCTTTCACTGTCCCGCCACTCCTGCACTTTTTGATTTTCATTACTTGAACGCTGCATTACCTCATGCAACATGTCTTCCTTGCTTCTACGTGGCCTCTTTCTGATTCTTTGGAGTTTTTCAGCCGGTGATAACACTGACGGCTGAGATCTCAAGGTTGCATCTGTAAAGGCAAAATGCAACAGGTCACAGAGGCAGCATTGTTCACACCAGACAGAGCAGTGATTCCCCCATACTTAAGGGCAAGCACAGTCTGCACAATAGCATAATTCGCCTGTCCCAAAGTGAGTGCACATAACCCACGGGAGCCCCAAAATGGTGAGTAAGCACAGGGTCAAGCGTGACTGATTGTTTCACGACTGTACTGTCCTCTGGGATTCTGTGCCTTGGGGAGAGCCAACAGTGGCAGGGGCCCCCTATACTGAACACTGTCCCCACATTTTCCATGGGAGTTCGTCCTGGAAGATATCTTGCAGATGAGGGTGACCTGGGAAGTAAGGGAGGGTCTTCGACTGCAATGTGGATTCTGCCATGGCCCATATGCACTTACTTGTGTGCAGCAATGGTCCCCCCACCCCTCACGGCACAGTGGTGTGGACAAGTTAGCTTTACTGGGACAAGGAACAGAGTGGCTTTCCCGAGAAACCTGCCAAGTGCGTTGCCCAAGTTCTGGATGAGATCTTTGAAGAGATCACTGAGGCCGATTACCACAATGTGAGAGAGCACACCAACGCTATTCCACATCTAGGTGTGCATGCAGCCCTAACCCCCCTCACCCCAAGAGCCCGCACTGAATAACTTCTTTCCCAGAATAAAAGCCGCTTACTGAGAACCTCCTCTGGTGTTTGTCCTTCCCCAAGCACCGGCCACTGTGACTGGCTACCTTCCTCCTTGCTTGAGAACAGCTCCTGGCTGCATGCATCTAGGGATTCCGGGGTGTCTTCCTCCACCTCAGCACCCTCACTCCCACTTTGCTGCTCCTTCTCCTCCTCCTGTCTTGTTGAACTGGGCTTTGAAGTGTCCATGGTGGTACTCGGAGTGGAGGTGAGGTCGCCCCCAAATATCTCATCCAGCTCTTTGTAGAAACGGGGCTCCTTTATTGCGCTGTAACTCGCAAGTGTAGCCAAGCCCATAGTTACTTGAAGTTGAGTGGAAGCTCACAAGTCTCAGACAAGGAAGACTGGATATTTTAACAATAAAACCACAGTGAAACCTGTTAGTAATGGTTATCATAGTAACAGGTGGCATATTAATTCAATGTGATTTTTATATCGTCCCCATGAAGATCTAATTTACCTGGGAAGAGCTTGAGCTAGAATCACATAAATTTAGGGCTGAAAGGAACCTTTTCTGCAGTACTGCCACCTAACCAGTTATTCCCTATTTTGTAGCTGTGCATTTAATTTTTCCTTCCTACGTGAAGTACTTTACATTTGTCGTTATTAAATTTAATGTTGTTAATTTCAGACCAATTCTCAAATTTGTCAAGGTAATTTTAAAATTTTAATCCTGTCTTCCAACATGCTTGCAAACCCTCTCAGCTTGATGTCATCTGCAGATTTTATAAGCATAAGCTCCACTCTATTATTCAAATCCAAATGGTAATACTGAATAGTACTGGACCCAGGACTGACCTCTTTGGGACCCCATTAGATACACCCTCACTGTTTGACAGCAAACCATTGACAACTATTTTCTGAGCCAACCTTTCAAACAGTTGTGTACCCACCTTATAGTAATTCCATTTAGACCACATTTATCTAGTTTTCTTATGCGACTGTTATCTGGAACTGTGTGAAAAGCAATATTAAAATTAAGATATATCACGCCTACTGCTTGCCCCATCCACTAGGCCAGTAACTTTGTCAAAGAAGGAAATTAGGTTTGCTTGGCCTGGTTTGTTCTTGACAAATCCATGGTGGCCATTCCTTTTAAGACTATTATCCTCTGGGTGCTTACAAATTGATCATTTAATCATTTGTTCCAATACCTTTCGAGGCATCAAAGTTAGGCTGACTGGTCCCTGGGTCCTCTTTGTTCCTTGTTTTAAAGATAGGTATGATGTTAGATACTGTGGTGATGGGTGGTATACAAAAACCTAGGATGGATGGAGTGTGAAGCACATTAGTCACAGAATAAGACAGGTTCCTATGTCAAAACTCTTACAGTATAAATAGTCAGTGGCCAGACAAAGGAGAGTAAAAGAGAATGAACTGCAATTTTTCCTACCCTTTATAATTTCCCAAATCTGAGATCATCAATCCTTAATTACTTTTCTTGATCTTGCTCCATCCTTTCCCATTATGACCCTTTATTCAGAGCCACTTCCTAACATTGCCATCCACAAATCAGGATCGATACGAATAGCCCTGTAAAAGACAGACGATGTGGCTGCCGTTAAGATGCTAGGTCAACGTTCTTTTTAAAACAAAAAGCTAAAGGTTGTTTCAGCTGGGTAGTTTCACATTATGTACAGTTTCTAGTATGGTCATTTAAAGTAATCTTTTATTATCAGTCATGTACCATATGTGAAGTACTTGCTGATTCTCAGAACCTGTGTCATGAGAACTGAAAAGGCTTTGTCAAACTGAAAACCTGGCATAGACAGTCCATGGGAAATTAGATGTGTTTATTACAACATCCTAATTTTATTAAGGTTCTTTTTCTATTTTTCTGTTCAGATCTGTGTTTCATAGAAGTCTACAAATTTCATCAAAAGATTTTCCTTGGAACCTCCAAGCAACATTGTGAATCAAACTCAATTGATTTGCTTAGAAATTAGGGTGAGTCTTCTTCCAGAATAGATACAAGCGATCCTTAGTCACCCTCTCCATCTCTACAAGACACAAAGACTGGGCTCCAGCTCAGCTAAGTCAAATCCTGTCCACTTCATGTCGCATGTGTAATCTGTTTTACTTGGCTTGTATTTCCAAAGTGGAAAGGATATCTAAACTTACACAATCTCATCTGAATTAACAGCACCGATTCAAGAATTACATTTTCACATGGCTATGAAAATTTGTAATAGCAACATTCTGAACCCGAAATGTGTCCTTCTCTCTGTCTCCTTTTTGTTTCTTTTAAAAATTAACACACCTGGTAGCAGGATCTGAAATTAAAGGTGAAAGCACAACACATCCTTTCAGTGGTTATGGATGATCTCTACTGGACTAACACATCTAACATTAATGTTTATGATGACAAGCATACTGTTGATTATCTTCCCTCTTGGATTGAATTAATGTGAATACAATATGTGAAGCCAAAGATCCGAATTCATTGCAAGATACTATTCTTTTTCCTTTTTCTTCCTCTTGCCAATGTACTCAAGAGGAACTTTTCTGTTTTCCCAAAGAACAAGGATGAGAGGGACATTAATTAATTAATGTCAGTTGCAATAGAAAGCAATCTGCATGTCAGACAGAAAAAAAGGAAAAAGTTCAATATGGCATTTAAGAAGGAAAAAATGAAAAGAAAAGAAAAAAATATTTTAAATGTATCTTGTGCAGCTAACATCTTGATGAACCCTCTCTGCAACAAGCATTGATCAGTATTTCATTTATATACTAGACACAGGGCAAACGTCAGTCAGCAGTTGCTGCATGTGGGCAGCTCCTATTGACTAGGTTCATAGGAGCTGCCCACATGTATCCTAGCAATCAGTCTATCTAGATTCTTACAGCAGTGTTCATCTCTTTAGCAATAATAAGAGATAATAAACAAAATCACTTGCTTACTTCTCAGAAGGCAGTTGGAAGGGGGGTTGTTTTTTTCTGCATAATTTATTATGGCCATTCGAAGGGCAGTAAGATTTGTGAGCATAGTTATCTCCTTAGCATTGAGTTCTAAAGCCCTTGGCCTGTAATTAAGAAAGTCCTGCCTCCTTCAAACTTCACGCTAATGCTGGCAACTGAAGAGTTCTTGAGGTGAGTAGTTCTTGAGGGAGGCAGTTATGAAGAAAGAGGTGCTTTCTGAAAGGTCATAGGTCAATTCCATGGAGCTCTTTGGAGGTTAACTCCGTGACTTTGAATTTAACCCTTTGAATTCAAATACTTGGATTGTGAAAGTTGGCCAGTTTTCCCTTAGGGAAGGGGAAGTCTTGGAGGCATATTGGGTTTTGTATCTCCAAGTCAGTCTACAGGTTGTTTGATAGCTTGGTGAGCTGGTGGAGGCTGACCATCGCTCTCAAAGGAAAGAGAAGACCTAGCTATAGGCTAGTTGGTTTGGGGGATTGACAGAGCCCAGCTCATGCTGGACTCTGGGCCACTATCTTTAGATAATTGGTTTAATTTGTGAATTTATATATATATCTTTTTTTTCCAGTCTTGCTCAGGAGGCTTATTCATCTTTCTAGCTCCTGCAGTGGCCGGTTAGCCTACTTTTGGTGGGGCACCCAGACAATGAGAGTTTTTACACCTTATGGTTATTTGCAAGGCCTGCTGGGCCCACATATAGCTTCCTAAAAATTGGCCAGTCTGTGGCATCCTTTAGGGTAAATGTGTCTTCAGAGTGATATTGACAAACTCTGTCAGAAAGAGTGCTAGATAGTCTTGTGCATCTCTCTTCAGGAGCAATGGATTTGAATTTGGAAGGGGAAAAAAAAACTGTTGGTGACTCTGGTTTCTTTGAGCCCTTCTAAAACATGCTGCTCTGTGATTATGCTGAATTCAGTATTGCTAATCCCAAGTGTTCAAATTCATAAGTCAAGCCCACACAAAGTCATGAGATTTAAAAAATACATTTAGGGTTCTGTTTATTTACCTTTTCGTTTTTGAGCCCCTAGGTCACACTTGGTCATCTTTTTAAGCTTTCCTGTGCAATCATGAGGGCTAGAAGCATTTTAAAAAATAAAAAAAAAAAGCTGAGAGGCTCGTGTAACCACAGCAGCTGGGACTTGAAGAGAAACCCTAAATATACAGAGATATGTATATGACACTTGACTGCTCTAGCATGATAAGCAATTAAAAAATTACAACCTCACGATGACATGCTCATCCACTGAGATAACAAAATGCGTGTTTCTACAGACCTTTTTCACTGCTTGGAAATTCTCTTTGTAACCCATTGCACACCCTTAATGTCAGCATGGGTGTAGGTGAAAAGAAAATGAAATAACATGCCCCCTGAAACTCCTTGGGGGAAAAAAAAGCAGTTAAATGGTTTCTGTTATGATGCCGACAGGAGACTGTCAGTTAGCATTCAGCAGTTGTAAATGTAATTGAGGGGTTTAGCTGGGACCTGGCTAGGACCCAAGGACAGTTCCCTCAAATAGGGGAGCAAGCCCTGAGTGATGCTGGGTTCCTTACTGTTCTAGCTGCAGGTGTTCAGCACGTTGTCAGGTTTGGGCCAGAGGAACAAGCAGCAGGAATCGGTTTGTACGGCTAGACGGACATTCTCAAAGCAACAGCCAAGAAGTGATCTTCAAAGTTTTATTCAGTGGGGCTGAACCCATTCCTGTCCTTCAGTATCTGTGGCAGCATTGCTGCTCTGTGATAGGACCTGTGTGACTGTCAAAAACCACGCAGCAGTAACAGGAACATCTGTGCGACATTACCTTTTGGGCAGCAAGAACGCATCCCAGCGTTAGAGTCTACTCAGGGGCAGGGACAATAGCCAATCATAACACTCTTTGACTGACTACAATCCAATAATAATTTCACTCTTCCGTCTGTTTCTGTCTTTAATCTATTTTTTAGTTACTCCACCAAATAGGGAGGTCTTCCATTCACTTATATTCAACTAAAGGTTTTGCTGTAACAGGCTCTCAATGCTACCATTCTTTCAGTTTTTCCAGTGTTTTGTCTTGCAAAATATCAGTAAGAGGGGATTACAATGCAAGGCTTTTCCTGCACTGCTTTCATTCTTTCCCTTCAGAATATATTAACAGATAGGCACATAAAGTCTTTGTTATCAAATATGTAATAGCCTGCTCTATGCAGTGTAAAATATATACAAGCCGCTAAAACAAAACAAGCCCCACAACAAAACCTTTCCAAACCTCAGTCTGACCCTGCCTCAAATGCCTGGGGAAAATAAAAGATTTCTCACACTTTCTACTCTGTCTGGGTTAGATTTTCCAGCTCCTTGGACTGCTAGACACGAACACACACAAGGCAAAATTTGGACAGCTTTACAGATCTCTCTCATCACACTAAAGTTCTAAACCTCTACAAATAACAAAGTTATGAGTTTGTACCACGAATAACTTGGGAACTGAGCCTGTTTCCACTGAAGTCAATGGCATAACTCCCATTGACTTCAGTGGTGCACAACCAAGCATCTGCCAAGGCCCCTTTAATGTGAATACAGTAAGACTGACAATACAAATTAGCACTTGCATAGTGCTTTATGGTTTTGAAAGGCCAGATTTTTAAAGATATTTAGGTGCCTGACACCTATTGAAATCAATAAGCCTTAGGCACCTAAATACCTTTCAAAATTTGACAAAATGTGTTTTACAACGTAAAAGCCCTGGTTTTTATTATCCTTCCTCTGGTGGAGTGGTTGTACATTGTGTGACTAAAGGGAGCAGACTTTGTCCCTAATTATGTATCCCTATAACATTGAAATATATAATTATGATGATCCTTGTTTTATAGTGGTCTCCACCTCTTCCTTTAGCGGCTCTCTCATGTCACTATCACCCCCCTTATAAACCAGGATTCAAATAGGGGAAAGTAGAATGGAAAGGCAGCTCTCCCTACTCTGCTATAAGCAGTGTGGGAGCTGCACCTCCTCTTCTTTTCTCCCTCCACAACTCTCTTTATTCCTTCTGCTTTAACCACTGTTGTTGTTTTTAAAAAAAAACAACAACAGAAAAACATAAGTGTGTGCAATTAACCACCATCCCCACTATTCCCTCCTGCCCTACCAAGCCACAGAAACCAAAGATAGGCAGCTTCCCATACAAATAACCCAGGCTGCCTCTTTGCTGGCTTCCCTGGGAATTTCTCTATTTTGTATTGTCTTTATTAATTTTGTCTCCAGTATTTTTCTCCAAATATTCAAGCTGTTTGTATATTTCGGCAGAATGTCTATTTTCTCCACAATGGCTGCAGAAGCAGCCTGCAGCTCTTCCAGCAAAAGATGTATTTGCCTGATCATTATCTTTATTGGCATGGACAAGATTTACTGGAAACCTCAACCATTTTTTCCTAGGGTTATTTTCAGCATCACATCTGAAGTTCTTTAGAGAAATAACCAAAGTCAAAGCTCCACTGGGTAATGATAGAGCTTGCTTATCTGTTTCTGCAATGTGGGCATCTCATTAGTACCATCCTTTCCTTTGCAGCCTCCATCATCCTACCATGTGTTCTGGATGGAGGTTTGTGTTTTGCTTTGTTTATTATAGGCGGCTTCTTCTGTTCTTTAATAACCTGCTTTTCTTCCTTCTCTCTCACTGTCCCCATTAACTAGGGAAAAGATGGAGGATTTTGCAGCCTCTTAGAGGTTGATGAAAAAGATGCCATCAAATAGGATACTTCTTAAAACCTGGTTCAATTGCATATGATTTTATCATAGCTTGCTATATGCACTCCTTTTCTAATACTAGCCCTTTGCAATAATTTTTGCTGATGCTGGTAATAACAGGAAAGTTTCCCCCTATCCTTATGGCCTAACTGATAATTCCTGCCTTGTCCCACAAAAATCCTTTGTAAAGTCATCAGCAATGATTTCCTGGTTTGTAATGACCATATTATGTTTGTGATACCTGTCTGACACCACTTTTTTTTCTTCGCCTCAGTTCCTTATTATCCCTGAATGATTTCTGCTGTCTGATCAATAATCTTGCCAGGGAGTCAAGTGGAATGCCCAAATGGTGTGAGTAGCATTGGTTCTAAGCTCCCACCTGCCAAGGTCTCCTGAGAGAAATAATTTAAGGAAACCCCACACAGGGAGAGACCAGAAGAAGCTACACACCACACACACACACACACTCCAACTAATCAGAACCTGCCCCAAAAAAAGAAACTAACGAGGCCAGTTCTTATGCTTTAAAGACTGTCAGAGATTTCATCTGACTTCAAAACAAGTTTGGATGCCAAGTTAGGTAACTGTAGGTTAAAATTGATAAAATATAAGTTTTTTTAATATTGTAGTAATTTCTCAAGGCCTGAATCAGGACCCTGTTATGCTAGATGCTGTACATCCTCATAATGAAAGAATGGTCCCTGCCCCAAACAGCTTACAGATCTGAGTTAAGATTAGCATATGCCAAATTGTCCTCCATACCTCACAAAATGAAAGACATGGAGTTTTGGAATTTGACGACTATTAGGATGATAGAGACAATAAGTGACAGACAGCAATTTTAAAAGCTGAAACAGGAGTGGGGATCTTGCCATCTCTAGTACATGTGTATATTCTACAAAGGTGTTGATGCATGTGATGAGATTACATCATCTTCTATAATGGGATAAAGTATACTTTGAGTCTCCAAAAAGACCCATAGCTAGCTATGCAAATGTACATGCACAGGATGGGTAGTAATTTACTGCTGATGTGGGCCGGAGCTAAGAGTAGGTTGGGAAGAACTGAGACTCCAAGTTGTGTGTTGTCTGAATTGCTCCTGGTGCTACCATGGGCTGTTACAGTTTATGCACCACCCTTTACTTACCACCTTATACCTAACATCATAATTTAGTAATTTAATTTAGTAATTAAATGAGCTCTCAATCCATCTACCCATGCAATAAAGCTAAAGACTTTACCCACTTTCTTTTGTAGCTAAAGTGGGAAGCCATCTGTCATCAATCATTAGACAAAGGGCTTGACTCTCCACACTTACCTTCGTGTAAATCAGGAGTAACACTGGTGTAAAACTAGTGAGAAGTGAGTGTAAGTGAGAAGAGACCCAGCCCCAAAGTGTTTTGTTTTTCATTCTTGTGTAGCAAGAAAAGGTAGAAAAATGGATTTTTTGGTCTCAAACATTTATTAAATACACTTCCTTCAAGTGTAGGTAATACGGTGATGAAAATCATCTCTGTATTCATGAACAAAAGACTAGAAACTCATCTCCTATATTACTCCCAATGGAGCTTTAATAACCTGCTTCTGCAAGAACATTATACAAAATAAAAAGGCAAAATATATTTGGAAGCAAACAACACAGAGGAAATTTCTCTCTCATTGCTATGAGAAACTACAAAACCAGACTGAGAAGCTATAGAACACTGCATTCAAATGACAAGAAGAAAGAAAATGTTGCAGCAAAGTAAATTAGCAAAGAAACTAAAACACAGATGTGCTTTACAAACCCTTCCAGAAAAAAAGTGGGTGGAGGTAGGAAACACTGTAAAGCCACATTGTTGTTGTTCAATGAACACCGAAAACAACCCAACCATTTTTATATCCAAAACAAAACTTTTTCTAAAAATTGAGTATGGGGAATAAATGAGGGACAATGCTTGGTAACTTGATTCATAAAGATCCCTCAGCGTGAGTATTGTAAGTGCCTTGCAACACAAGTGGTGCAATCACAATTACTAAATTTCAGCAAATAGTGAAAGAGCTCGGCAGTTTCTATGAGCAACCTGATGCAACTGATTACAGTCAAGGAGAAGTCAGGGTCAAATGTTTGCCACTGGTTAACTTTCAGAAACCTGCAGAATGCTTGGAACCCCACTAGAGCAGGGTGAGATTGAATAAGCCAATAAAACCACCAAATGGGGAAAGGACTCAGTTCTAGATGGACTGAGTATAAAGCTTGACAGACGGAACTAAATCCTACCTCCAAAGTAGGCTTAAAGATGCTTTTCTGATGATAATTATTATGTTTTCCATACACAAAGATCAACACATGAGCTTTTAGTCTGCATGACTTTCATTACTAGTTAAGGAAGCCAAAAAGGAACCTACATCTTTTAAAAAAAGGAG